GTATTGGTTAAACTAAATGGTTTTGCGCAAGCACGTAAGTAGATTAAAGATCTTTTGTTAACCACAATATTGCAATGCTGTCAATGCTGATGAATACTTCTCCATCAGGACATGTCATCATAATCATCCTCATCATCATTCATTAGACAGAAAGATTCCATATCATGAGCAATTAAACTCGCAACGTTTTCGGTTAATAAATAAAGGAAGCAATCTTTACTGGGCGCAGAGGGGAAGTATCGATGGTGGTGTTCTATTAGTTGTTCTCACATTCCAGTGAAAGAAAATCAAGAATTCGAGTTTGTTTGTAAAAGCAAAATGAAGTGAATTTTTTAATAAATTTTTGCCAGAAATTACTGCCTTCGGCTTCGAGCAGTGTCGATGGCGTTCTTTACATTTTAATTGACTTTCTGTTTACTGTTACATTCTTCCATAGATCGCAGAGGCGTGGACCACATTCCCTTACTTGTCCGTTTGGTTTTGGTTTTGAACGTAACGAAATCTATTGTTTGATTGTGACAGCTTCAGTAACGGCCGCACTTTTGCTAGGTTTTGGCAGACAAGTGAGAACTTCAAATCATTGAAAGCGTCAATTCAAGTGCACTTGCCCTCAAATTCTCGCATGTAATATATTAAGCCAGTGGTCTTTGTGGTAAATTTCATTTTCAGCGAAAACTATATGCCATCTATGATTTAATGGAAATCAATAAAAAAAACTAAGATAGAAAATGCGATACAAATTTTAAAAACCTGTGGTCTTGTTTTGGACAGTCGAAATGTGATAGGAAGTAAGTCATTTGGCATTATCTATAGATAGCGGAGTATCTAGAAAAAGCTTTGTAGAAGCATTGCCATTTGAAAAACACTCACTGGGTGCGCTAACGATCAACGAACAACAGATTGGCATTGAAATAAACACAAACTAAGCATTTTTTGCATTTTGCAACAACCAAAGCTATAATAAAGCAAACGACAGCGGGCCAGTCTGGCGCAACGCCTTTTTCCTATAAACGGTTTATTGGAGCCTTTTATTCTGACACTGTAGTGCGATTCACGAGTTGTTAAGTCCAGTACCGAATTCAAAAGTTGAGTTTTGTTGCCTTTTGTTGTCGTGATTACCGATGAGCAAATACTATAAAACGTAAGATCGTTAAGAATAGTCACATGGCACTTTTCTTTAACTTTTTCCCCATGTTCTAAAGTGGTCCGCCGAAGAATTTTACAGTCTTATTGCGGAAGCATCGCGAAATCGAACATTCGGAACGGAAATGTTCGATCATGTTATCACTTACTCACACTTTTACATTTGGATCTGTGTATCGGGTTTTTTCGCCGTGAACAGCCACGATTCTATAAATAAACTACTAAAGAATATATGACTATTCAAAACGTAACGGAAAGTGTTTAAAAGAAATGGAATATTTTATTCATCACAATTTGTATTGTCGTGCTTGAAGAAGAAACAACTATCTCAATACTTGAGTCAATCTATCATAGATGCAGGGGTGTAGCTCCTTCAACTTCCCACACTGCCGACGACTTTCAAAAAACGAGTCGTAAGTTAAGTTATCAGTTCAGATCAGATTCAGATTCAGATTATCTGCTGTTGATTTGTAGAATTCAAGAAGAAGAAGAAGAAGAAGAAGAAGAAGATTATAATTGGGAAAGAGCAATCGCGTTTTCATTTACTACAAGCGAGGAAAGTTCGAGACCTAATAAAAATCGGCATTTGCCTTAAGCGACGAGAAATGAATATATGTGAATGTGGCTTTATGAAAGAATCTGATGTGAGAGCATATTCAAAAGATGAAACTATGTGATGCAAAGTTGGTATACAAATTCTTTGCCCAAATACTTTTTTATTCTTTTTTAATTTTTTTTTATTTTTATGAAATATCAAAAATTATACCCTCTTTGCAGTAGAAAGGTGGGTTTTTCCTGAGAAAGGGTAGGATCCGAAACATAGGCTGATGTTGTACTAGATTATTATTTTATATGAAGATTACACTGTAGCCGAATCGTTTATATCCAACATTTTTATCTTAAAAGATATTAGATGAACGCGATCAATTTTTCCGTTCTTGTAAAGGGATTTTGGGTTTTTGGATTTTGATAGCAGGAGATGTTCTCCGTTTTGTGTGGTACTGTAGCTGTATCATTTGACCGATATAAAAGTTGTAGTCGATATTTGAATTGTTGCTATCGACATCTTCATTTCTTATCCCATAGATACAAGCGAAGACGAACAGACGTGGGGACGTATATAGTTAAATCGATTAATATCAAATTCTTAATCACTAATTCTTTAGAGCTCCTCTTTAGAGACTTGTAGGTATTGCAAAATACTGACAAGCTTCGGCGGTGAATATAAGTAAACGATAAATAAAATCAAACTCTTTCACAATCATATTCAGGTCATATACTACAGCCATGATAGGCACTTCAGTTTACATTATCACTGGCAAATACCGCTTCATTTATGAATGTATTTATAAAATATTGATGCAAGATATCCATAAGTTTCGAAACTAAGTTTTGCATTGCTTCTACAACACTTACAAACTGTCATTACTAAGCATGCCATTAGTGGAACAAGCACACATCATCCATCACTTATGTGTTTAATTCTTATTATACAATGAAAGGGCACAAAGCATTTTTTTCTTTTTATAAAGCGAATCATGCTCAAGTATAAATAATAACAAAATCATCTTATAGTAGTACAACAATTGTCGACACGTATACCTACCCGAAGCATTATTATGCACGCTTCCATGTAAAGATTTTAAATATGGATAATAAAAGAGAAACAAACAAACAAACAATAGGCATCATTACACAATGAATAATAAGTAGATGATATACATCATAGAAGAACTTTACCTAAATACACGTATTCCGCAAATAAAACAGCCAATCAAAACATTTATGAAAGAAAATTACCGTTCAATGCGCGCCTTGCGGCGAACTTTGGATGTCCGCTACCTCAAGCGTTTACTGTGCATTATGGGCGTGTAAGTGGAAGGAGCGAGACCATTTTGAGATCAAACTTTGAAACGGCTTTTCGATTCATTCAAACATTCAAACCTTGTTATCGAGTGTCGTTTGCTTATCTAATAACGAACCTAACGACGGGCAGCATCAATATTTACCTCCAAGCTTCCTTTCAAGTTCTTACTCGCGCGCGTACGTTTCATCAGCAAGCTACGCGTAATTATCTATAAATGGAAAAAACTAAACTAAAAATATTCCCCAGATCGACGATTTTTATGTCAATCTTACGAACTCGGCCAGAAGAAAAGGCCGGGATGCAAAGGTGAACGTTCGCATAAATGCATCGTAGCTTAAGGGCGCCGGTTGAGTTTGAAAAAGGGAACCAATACCTGTACAAACCAAGTCTCAACACGCGAACGAGGAAATTTTCAAAGACATTGCTGTCAACAACATAAATATAAAGGTCAACATTAGTTTCGTCACTGACTTGTGAAAATTTTGAGATCTTGGGACTAGAAAATTAAAAGAATAAACCAAACATGTCGCGCATATTTTTTCGCCCTTCATTTTCCTTGCATCAGAACATTATTATTGATTTGTTTTGCGTGTACATCTACATAAATACACGCGAAAGCGTTTAAAAGCAATATTATCCTTGAATCGATTGAGTTGTCGCCGCTTGTGTTCGCACGCACAAGTCTACATTTTTACAAATTAACAAGGAAAATTGGATGCAGTCCTCTATAGTAATATATATATATAGTAATATAAATATGTAGTAAAGTCCGCAAGTTTGAAAAAAGCCAAAAATTTTGATTACCTTACCTAAAAGCCTAAAGTTTGCATTTAGCGTAGATTTCCTTTAGCAAATCCTTGTCCAAGACATGTTCTAAGGCGAATCTAATTGTTGTGACAATTTGCTTACTTCAAATTTTGCAGAAACCCTGCATAGCAGGGAAACTAAACCGTCGTACTAGTACGTTTACCTGAATCGAATACGCTTTATATAAATAGAGGAGAAAAAAAAAAATGAAAATAAAACGAAAAATCATTTCTACGCTTTAATCAATTTATTATCTTTATTATATATAATTAAGGAAAAAATACAACAACTATAACAAATACATCCATACAGTGATTGATAACAATTTTTGCCCATTAATTCTCTATCTCCCAATAGCTGAGAAATATTATTTAATCTTTACAATTAATTTGATTAGAATAAGAAAATATATAGACCAGCTTGCTTTCACGTAGTTCATCCACAAAAGAAGACAATTGTATTTAATTAAGTTAAATGAAAAATGTATCTTTAGTATTTGAAATTAATGTTTAATAATTATCTCTAAGAAATTTTTGTAAACACATCAAGAAATATATTTTTCAGAAGATTTTCAAATAAAGTTTTCAATTTATTTTTATTTTTTTTGTTTTTTGTTTTTTTTTTTTTTTTTTTGTTTTTAATTAAATGTTTTCTTGTTTTTTTCAAGGTTTTCTCATCGACATTCCTATATGTATGTTCATGGAGACAACATTTAGATGACAATTTAGAGAATATGTTTTTTATGTTTTGATTTATGCACGAGTAATAACACTTTGGATATTAAATGTCAAGATATGTCACGAATTGAGTGCGAGCGGTTTACTATAACGAATTGAATTAAAATTAAATTCCTTTCACAAAATCTATTGTAGTTATAAAGAAGGTACATTGACTTTTTTGAAATTTTTATTATGTTTTCTAAAAGTGAAAATTATAAAAAAATAATTTTTAAATATTTTTTCATTTCATTTTATAATCTTATATATTTATTTTACTAATAGAACGATCATCTAAAAAAAATTGTTGATTTTTTTTGCTTTGTCTCTAAAAATAAAATTTTCAAGTTAGGAAACTCTGTTTTAATCTTATTAAATATATAATGAAAAGTTTTATCATTTATTTAGAATGTGTTAAAGAATTATTTCCTTTTATTAAATATATTCAATTATTTTTAATTTTTATTTTGTTTTGTTTTTTTTTTTTTTCTTCATTTCATTAACAGGTCATTTTTAGTTTATATCATCTTTCTATTTATTTAACAAGGCGATGATTTTCGCGACCGTGACCTTGACTTTGAAGGACTTCTCAGACTATGCCTTGAAGCACTACGCGGCTTAAATCCACTACTATTATTCCATGGTTCGGCTACACGACCATACCAATGTATTAGATCCATGACTTCAAGCTGAAAAGAATTTTTAAAAACCCTTCGCTTAAACATCGACAAAGCAATGAATTACTAAACGTTACTTACTTGCAGTGAATTCGTTAATTCCTTAAACATCGCAGATTTGGTCACGTGGGAATTCTGCGATAGATATGACAAGCATTTTGACTTTAAAGCTGTGGCCATATAATGATCCGAAATACCCAATAAACACAACACCGAGTCTTCATCAATTAGAGCGTTTAAGGTATTTTCGCATAATTCCTAAAGCCGCAATGAATTAAAAAAGAACAACAACAACCATAGTGAACAGTTGACAAAGTTGAACCGTTTACACTCATATAGCCTTATATAGTGGGATTTGTAAAACGTGACTGTTTACGAATAATTTCGGGGTGCAGTGTATGTTGCATTAAATTTTTATTTTGTGACCACCTATTTAGGGGACACTGTCTATTCGCGAAGGCGCGGTGGTGGTTCGGAACGATTATTGGCATGGAGTGAAGAAAGGGGAGGGTAGTGTTTGTGTACGGGCGATTTGAAAGTGGTAAAATTTCGCGCGATGGGAAAGATTGCTGCTGGTAAATTATCCCAAAGGCAGGCAGTGGTTAGAGAATGACAAATCGGAGTAATAGGTCGTGCGGTATGTGTGAACAGCCAGGACGTGTTAATGAGAACGCTGAGAAACCCGGGTCGTCTTGTTAACGAACTTAATTGATGGATAAATTCTTTCTCTTGTTAGAACATTTGACATTACGATGATACTCAAGCGCATTCAGAGTTTTGGGCGCACACACCGTTCGCTGCATTCGGCCGATGGCTTCCAGACAAGACCCAGAGGCTCGCGTTCACACATTGCAACTTGTACTCTAATTGAACTTTTAGGCGGCCCACTTGACCAATACCCCATCCCCATCTTGACAAATTGTTTCACAAATTTCTATGAATGTCCATCAATCATATGCCTATGCCTGAACCGGCCATATTACAAAACCTAACGTCTTTAATTTTTAGGCAAAATCATTCCTTGTCACCAAAATATTTTGAGAATATTAAAATTATATATAGTGGGAATTAGATTAAACTGTTTTGCATTCGCTTAAGACGGATAGTAATACCACTCTAAACTTTCCGGAAATAAATTCTTTTTTTACTGGCTTAATGAATGCTATAAGAAGCTTCCAGCATGTGTACCTCAAAGAAGTTTTCCTCTTTTTCTCCAAGTTTCGAATGTGTCTGTGCTAGGAACTTGTAACCTAATGTCTAGCCTAGCGATTTCTAAATATTTCGAAGGGTTTCCAAACAAAAAAGTGTTAGATTAGGTTGATTGAAACGCGACTTGGAACGATATGAGCCTGAGGCCAATTCGAAAGCTTCATCGGCATTGCTTTCTTTGAGATATGCCGTGCACATAAAAGCGAATGAGAAGGAATGTATCCTTGAACACGGAAGGGCAGTATTATCGTGCTGGCGCATTACACTAATGGAAAAAAAAATTATATAATAAATTCTAATAAGAAAAAGATGTCTATAGAACTTTTCAAGACTTGGACAACGGTTTTTTTGAAACCGTTTCGGATCAATTAGTTCCAACGTTAATCACACAAAAGATTGTTTTTCTTTCATCGAAAAATTACCTTTTGATTTCAAATTCGCGTCAATCACACAAACACTTCATTATACGTGTAGGTTACAAGGATTTTTTTTTGTTTTTTGGCTTTTTTTTTTTACATTTCTTAAATACAGTGCCCGATTACCACTTCGCGACAATGATTTCGATGTGTTGCCATTTTTTAATACTTTTTAAAAATTGTTCTGTTTTTTTTTTGGCATACTTAGATGTTTATGCTCTACTCGTCCACTACCGTTCGTAACATTCATATATATATATACGAAGTGCTTGCACTAGTTTAAAAAATTCTGGGTTACGAAGAATGTTTTTCGCCTATAGAGCCCGGAAGCAATAAAACGGATTAATAACCTAATCAACTTTTATTATTCTATTACAGTTACCTCGACTCGACTATTCGAGTAGTATTACCCCTTAAGTATACATTTATTTCAAGGCCTTTTTAAAGTTGCATAGGTTTGCAAACGATTGCAATTAATTTATTATATATGATATATAAAACTAACCTTTAAATCAATTATTGAATATCTGTCTGCTAACATCATCAATTCGCAAATTTGTTCGGCACCCACGGTTTTATCAATTGGTGCCCCATATAAATACAGTAACAAACGGCGAAATATTACCGGCGATGTGTCAGTTATAATAATTTTTCTAGAATAAAGGCAATTTTATTAATTCTTATTAGCATCGCGATGTAAAAGGAGTTATACCTAGTGATGCTTTCTTGCATGCCCGACATTAGTGCCTTTTTAAAGCATTCGCATCGAGCCGCGACCAAAACACGATGGGCACGAAATATATGAACTTGTGAGTTTGATTTATGGCTCTGCATGCTCAATCCCTCGCGGTCTATGCTATAATTTGTTGTGTTGCCCATATTACAACTATTCCCAGAAATGATTGATGCCACAGTATGCACTTCGAATTCCATATCGGTTAGTTGGGCCGAATGCAATAAACGTAAAGCATTTTTTGATAGACTGCTGTTAGCAGCTATAGGTGGTTCGCACAAATGTCTTACCAAGTTAAGCTAAAGCAACAAATAAAGGAAAAAATATTATTTCAATATACAAGAATTACGAGAAGTGCATTTCTTTACCTTAACAATTTTGTAATCATTTGTGATTTTATTCTCCATGTAATCTCCGCTCAATTCCGATGGCAAATGCTTTTGCATTGTATTTAATTCACTTTCCAAGACATTGGATGGCTCCAACAGGCCTAAATCTATTAGCGATTGTGTAAACTCTTGTTTTTGTACTAATTTGCAAATCTAAAGATTCATTAAAGAAACTGTTAAGCAACCGTCAAACATCATTCTTTCAAAAATTCATGTAAAGTTTTATTAAAACAGCATAGACGCTTTTTTTTTTTTTTCTATTGCAACGTGACTGCGTATCATGGCAGATAGAAAAGATAATGATAAAATAAGAAAGAGGAAGAAAGTGTGACAGACTTCGAAACGTATCAAGTTGCATTTCTTAATAATCCAATGATATAAGCAAATGAAAAGAATGCAAGTTGACGCTAAGCGTCTCCATTCGTCATTTATGTTAATCACAGCGTTAAATAGTTTTATTCGTAGACCTAAGCAGAAATGAATAAGTTTAAAACTAATATAAATAGGAGCATTTCAATGAAGAAAACATCATCCTTCATCAAAGGATCGGACACGGCGTTTTAATCGTTTAATGTTAGGTAGCGACCACGACCCTTCTAGCCGACACATTCAGGCAAAATGAAGATGTTTGGCGTTCTGAAGCCGAACACCTAGGTTACAAGTTTCAGAGACTTTATTAGAGGAGATACACACATTAACACATTAATCTATATTCTGCTCCTAAACACATCTTTGCATTACAGTGTGCTGATTATATATTTTAACAAGAGAAAGAAAAAAAAAAAGGATGGGCAAAATTGCTTTAATAAGCAAATTCCTTGCAGAAAGTGTTGTACGCGGTTTTTAAAAGGCCAATGAATTTGTTTTTATAACATTTCAAATGAGTAGAAAAATACGATTTCCAATTTTCTATCTCATCCATAATGTTGTGGGGCAAAAAAAGGACAGAATGTTGGGATTTTTTTTTTTTTTTTTT